CCACTATAAACATAAAAATCTAGATTATGATAGGAAGCTTGGACAACAAAAAGATAAGGGCCACCACTCATTTGAAGTTGACCTGAAATAGCTTCTTTAGCTTGTGGCCTGTCATGACCTAAAAGAACTACCTTGTGATGGAAATAGTAGGTTTATCCATCATCAGGCACTAAAGGATTCAGGAAGATCATTGTTATAATTATGCTCAGATGGAAAAATTATATTCCTAAAGTTTAATTTTTTTACACATCAATGGTGCTATTTATTGCAGTCAAATTTAAGACAAATTATTATAACTATCTTAGTAAGCTTGTTGTAAGTACAACATTAACAAATAACTTTTGCAACTATTTATGAAAATTATTGATTATTGCAGAGTTATTGCAGAGAAAATATATTTTTGAAAAACTTTTGAAGTATTATAAATTCTCTCTCTTTTGAAAGAAAACAAATAACTTTCTTACAATTATCATATTCTAATAGCTTTAGTTATAAATATCATATCATAGAAATTTTTAAAAATAATAAGAAAGTAATAGATAAACAAGACCCTGATTATCATATGAAAAGTACAATTATAAGAAAAATAAATAAAATTATAAACACTCGAAAGGCTTGACAATTAAAAATGTTTGCTTTGCATGTTTACATTAGATGACCAATAAAATTTGTGAATAATTTATAGGAGAAATTGCATGCAAAACATTTAAAATTTATGTCGGTATAAAAGTAACTCTCAATTAAATATCTTATAATATGAATTTGATTTGATTTGATAACAGAGATATTTGCTTTTGGTTTCTAACTTTCAATGATTTTGCCCACTTATAATGAATGCTTATTAAGTGCTAATTACTAATTCAAATTATCTTGGTCAAATTTTATTGTATCTCTGTTTTGGCTGAGTTCATTTTATTGTTTTGAACTAAATTGGCATACAATTATTTATCTTCTTTTTTTTTTTTATCATGGGCATATAAATATTGGAATGCTATTGACTTTAGTGACATTAGCATCCTACATGAAAATCAAGATTTTTATTTTTATCGTCATATTTGTAAAACGTACGGAAGTTAGAGAGGCTTTAAAGAAAATAAATTATAAAAAAGTTATTGGATCTGATGATATCCCAATAGAGGTGTGGAAATGCTTAGGAGATTGAAGAAATTTCCTAGCTTACTAAACTTTTTAATATTACTTTGAAAATAAAAAAGACGTCATATGAGTGGAGGAGTGTATTGGTTCTTATTATATAGGAATTAACTTAAAGTGTCATATATTGAAATCATGGGAGAAAGTTATTGAGCATAGGTTATGCGTGATACTAATATTTCTCAAAATCAAATTGGATTCATGCCAGGTAGGTCTACCATGGAAGTTATACATTTATTGAGAGTTTTTATAAAAAAAGTCTAGAGATGATTTAGAGAAAGAATATGATAAAGTTCCAAGAGAAGTGCTCTAGAGAGTTCTAGAAAAGAAATGAGTTAATAATGCTTATATTCAATTCATTAAGGATATATATGCATGAGCTGTTACTTGCATTCAAATACAAGTTGGTTTGACCAAGTATTTTTCTATTTCAATTGGATTACATCAAGGATTGGCTTTAAGCCCAAATCTTTTTACTTTTATCATGGATGCTCTTACTAGACATTTGCAAGAGGATGCACCCTCATGTATGCTTTATGTTAATGATATTCTTCTTATTAATAAGACAAAAGAGGGAGTTGAAGGAAAACATAATTATGGAGGTCAACCTTAGAATCTAAAAGTTTTCATTTTAGTATATCTAAAATTGAATATATTGACTGTAATTTTTGTAGTAATAAATCTACTTGAGGGATTGTGACTTTGGGTTATCATGTCATTAAAAAGAATACACGTTTTAGATATTTTAGGTCTATTATTCAAAGTGATGATGAAATGGAAGGAGATATTATAAGTTGAATTCAAGTTAAGATGGTTGAAGTAGAATAATGCAACAGGCTCGTTGTGTAATAGAAAACTACCTCTTAAACTTAAGGAAAAAATATATAAGATGGTGGTGAAACTTGCAATGCTTCATGATGCATAATGTTGGCCATTAAAAGAGAAGTATAAAATTAAGTTGGGTGTTGCAAAGATGATGAAGCTTAGGTGGATGAGTGGTTTTACTCTTAGAGACAAAATGTGAAAGGAGTATATACATGAAAAAGCTAGAATAGCTCCAATGGTAGATACGATCAGAAAGAGTCATCTTAGATGGTTTGGCCCATGTTAAGAAAAATTAGAGTAAGAACATCAACCTTCCAATGATTCAAATAGGAGAGTAGATGTATTAGATTTGGCCCATGTTAAGAAATGTAGAGGTAGAGCTAAATAGAATTGGTTAGAAAACATTAGAAATGATTTTTTTTTTTGTTAGATTTAAATGAGAATTTGACTCTTAACAATTATTCGTGAATGTAAATTGTGATTATGATATTGTAGACTTCTATCATGTTGCACTACGATATTCCCAAGTTGAACAACAATTGCTACGTCACTTATAAGGCAAGCATCAAGTCACATTGGAATGAAGATTATCATGCTAGTGGATTGGATTGTCCAATGATGAAGATGAAAGGAGAAAAATTGTGAATCCAAGCCAATAAAGATATATTTTTGCTTAATGGGCATCTTCTACAAATTAAAGAGATTGGGGAATGTAAGAAGTTGTGAGATCTTTTCTCGGTTGATCAGTACTATAAAACCACCTAAGGATGAATTTAATTTTGTTAAGAATAAGATCACATCCTTTACTTAAGTTCAGGATTTCTTTTAGTGAGATGAATATTATTGATTCAAATTCTTAATATAATGAAAATAAGTGAAATGTTATTGTTAGTTTGAACCTTGAAGGGAGATTGTCATACAAACATGGTTGGGGAATTTATTTATTAATCAAGAACTTTTGAATTCACAAATTTGTAGTTTGACTTGCAATTCTAACAAAAAATGCAATGATTTCTATGAACAAAATAACAAGAAAAATAATAAAATTAATAGACAGTTTTAGATCAATCTGAACAAGATGAAAATCCTTATAAAGGGTAGGAAATATAAGTTTAATGCAGTTTGTCATTGATGAGGAAAACATGATCATATAAAATAAAAATAAAGCATCAACTTTAACCAGTCAAATATTGCATCTCGCTAAGAACAAGGGATTTATTAGCTAATTCTTCTACTATAGTCACCCCATATGTATAGACTATCTTCCAATTGGGTTGCGTAACTGGGTAATAACTAAGACTTCGTTTGAAATAGTTTTCTTTTAAAACTTTTTTTTAAAATTCTAGCACATAAATTTTTTAAAATCATAAAAAAAAGTAGGCAAAAACTGTCCCAGATGAAGGACTAAGGACTAATTATTCTGGGCGGACACCGAACGCCGTTTACATATCAATCAGAATGCACCACATCACTCATTGCTCGGTACCGCAACTCAGTACTGCTTGTTACCGTTCGATACTGCTAATGTGACAAATTTTAGTTGGTCTCTGAACATAATTCTATATCCGATCTCCGCAAAAAATAATTTCTCCAAATGAAGCCTAAGTTGACCTCTCTCTCGTTTTCACCCAATACTCTATTTAGGGTATTTCAAATCCTGATGAGAAACTTGATAAAGGTTAACCTTGTAGGAAACATATCTCTGAGGACAAGGACAAAATTCATGGCTATATATAGTATCAAAGGGAACTATAAAACAAATGAAAATCAACTATGTAAGGTTGAATCTAGGCATTTTTTGTCTCAATCAATCACTAAGATTTTATAATCTACAAAAGATTCTCTTCATGATGGCTATATGCATTTGATCCATAGAAGTATCTCAGTTCATATGATTTGATTTTTTTTTTTTTTAGTAGACTGAAATTTTTTTTAATTAATTCTTTCTAGCATTGCAAGCTTGTTTATCTCAGCAGAAGATTAAGGTTTCTAAAATGATTTATAACAAAACATAATAATACAAAAAATAAAATATAACTCAAAATTATTATAATTATTTCAAAATAAATACAAGACATAAAAGAACCATTATAAATTTAATGAATTTTATAATACAACATGCAAAAATTCTAGTTAGTGTTTTTCCTTGTTATTTATCTACTTAGAATGAGATAATTTAGGATTTATGTTCTTCGATAAGTCTAAGTTTTCATTTAGGACAATTTTTGTACTGCTTCTTTAAACAATTTTTTTAATATAAAAATTTTAATTTTTTTACTAATAATCTACTTTAAGAAGCCGTAAGAATGCTATCGCAAATGAAACCTAAATTTTAATAGAATAAAATAAAATAAAAATGTCGACATTAGAAAAGTGATTGTAGAGGCCAACAGTAGCTTCCATGATTCTTGGTGTTGAAATCTCCAGCAACAATGATAGGCGGGCGTTCGAGAAATTGTAGGCGGCGACTACGGATGAAAAAAATGAGGTCAAGGGCCTTAAATTCATTTTTTTTCACTTGAAATTCAACTGATTTAAATCAGTCATAAATGCTTTACATTTAATTTACTTCAAATCAAATATCAAAATATCGACAACCTTTTTTTTCTCGAAACTTGTACTTGCAATCAAAGAGCATCTAAGCCCTCATCAAATGATGCTAAGTAAGCATGGATGGGCTACAATCACCCATTTAATGTAAAGAAAGGAACTAATCTTTCATAAAACCAAAGCCCCCAAATTGTTGGATTTCAATCGAAATCTACACAAACAAATTTGCATTTCATGCAAGAAATGAACTTAAATGCAAATTTCAAACATTATTATAGGAAGTAAATTTTGCTATAAAAAAATTACAACAGAATATCACGGTACAAATTATATTAGGATAAAATTCATCTCTGTTAAATTTGAATTGAGAATAGTATTGCATATGATATGAAAGACTGCACTAATCTCCACACATATCCAACGGATATAAATCTCATCCAAGCACGATTTCGACCAAGATATTCTTATGCAACTTTCTAATATAAAAATTAATTTTTTTTTTAATTTCAAAACTGTTTTAAGAAGCAATAAGAAAGTCATCCCAAACGAAGCCTTAACTAAATTCCATACATAAATCATTCAGAACTGCTGCATAGACTTATAGCTGATATACGGTAATGAACAATCTAGACCCTTCTTCATCTTTCTTAACTCGAGCACAAAACTATAATTTTCAAATAGGCTGGAATATTTGTACCAAGATTACAGAACCAGAGAAATCTGCACAAAATCCACAAGACCAGCTTCACCTTCAGCAAGAACTGAAAGAGATATAGTAATTTACTTTAAGTAAACTAGTAAGGATAGAAAGTTATCATTGCTTATAAAGGCTTCAATTGAGAAGGCTTTCTTACTGCGTCTTAAATTAACTTTTTAGTACAAAAACTTTAATTTTTGTACTAGAAAATTACTTTAAGAAGCAGTAAGAAAGCTGTCCCAAACGAAGCCTAAATGTATAGCGTCAGTTATGTTGTGTAAATTTATCCTCATACTGAACTTGTAAATGACTGCAGAGTTTTAGAACTTGTTTGCTTACGTTGGGGACAGCAATCTCTCAGTGAGGAGTTTCCTGATTAACTTTGAATTTTGAAACAGCGGCTAGAGCAACGTTAAGATGATCTCCAATCCTATCTTTTTTCTCCTTTAAGAAACAAAATACATAGAATTATAAACTTGAGGTTGTTGGATTAAAAACATGGCTATGAAAAAAAACTGAAAAGTATAATATTGTCAATAAAAACGAACATCAGATTTTGCCTGTTAAGCCTAGCATAAAATTTCATGCAATTTAAAAAAACCGATACCATGAGCTTTTTATTAAGTACTTTTTTATAATTTGATCAGTTTCACAACATTGCACGCCTGGAAAGGGGTAACAGCAGCTATAATTCTTGAGTTCTTGCAACCCATGTTTGAGGACAAGAGGTTTTTCAGCTCAGCAGAGGGAGGTACATAAGAGCAATCTAACTGCAATTTTCTTCCTTCAACTATTTACAATCAATGGCAATAAACTTGCAGATGTTTTTCTAATTCTTCTGGAAAGTTTCTTGAAACAAGGTTGGCATTGGAAGTTCTAGATCAGAAGTAGAAGCTCGAATTCTGGCCAGTGCAGTTTTTCTGTGTTGCAACTGAAGCGAACAGCAGTTGGAAGGAATGGAGGAATTGGGAAGCTCTCAGTTAGGAGCGGGAGGGGCAGGGAACAGCGGGAAACAGGAACATGGAAGCCAGAAATCGATGAAAACGTTTTTGACTAGGACACAGGGTGAATAACAATATTGACTACTGTTGGAAGGCAAGAAAACAAGGTTTCTGGCACTGGGAAGGCTCGGCCGGCAACTTGAAAGGGCAGGGAACAATTCTAGCTTGCAAGAATCATTGACAGGGAAATTCTAAGTGAAGGGCTGAATTACAGGTTCTTATAATTTTATTATTCTTGAAAGTAATCTTGTTAAATTTCGATACATTTTCTAGGTGTCTAGAGTGAAGGAAATTTGTGGGAAATTGAAAGATAAAGGGCAAATGCTAAATTAGACCTTTGAGTACCACAGTTGGTTCAAGTATTATAATCGTCTCCTGAAAATGGGCAGGCTTCTGTTACTGGCCCAAAGGCCGGTTCAAGTCTATAGGAGGCGGACAAGTTCCGCTCCCCTCATGTTGCCTGCCCACATGGTGAGTCCCAAGGCTTGTAATAAGTTTGAATTTCAAAAGGAGGGGGCGGCTAGGTCTTGGGAGGGAGAATTGATTAGGAAATATTGGGTATTAAGGGAGGGATATGTTTAGGAAAGAATTATGTTTTGATTGATTGAAATTAGGGTTTCTTGGCGTTTGGGCTCTAGACTCTCTTGTCTAGAGATTTGGGAGAGACATCCTCCTCTCAAATTGAGGATCTCTAGTATCTTTACTTTGTGTTTGTTTCTGTTTGTTTGTTATAAGATTTGCTATCGTTTGGTTGTTCTTCCACCAAGATTCTATTATTTTCTTGTTGTTTTTACTGATTATTGCTAGGTTTGCTTGCAAATTCAAGTAGATCCGATATGATTACTTGCGAACTCAAGTAGATCCGATAGGATTACTTGCGAACTCAAGTATTTCCTATGAGCTTCAAATCTTTATTTCTATCACTAAGTTAACGCTTCAATAGCCAAGACTACTTTTATAAACAGTAGATACTAGATAACCATGCATTATAAAATTTCAAAGATACCATCAATAAAACATGAAAAAATTTGATATGAAATTAATCTCATAAGATCAAAACTTCGAACAAATCAACTTTAGTAAAAAACATGTAAACTCGTGCAAAGTGCAAAATGATGCATAAAAACATGTGCCATAGCATGACAGCACAAAACAAATCATACAGATACTGAGTAATTCATCTTTAAAAACATATTAAAAGCATTACAAACAACCATCATACAAGATCACTTAACTGAACTACAACAACAACAACAACATCAAGCCTTTATCCCACTACGTGGGGTCGGCTACATGAATCCTTTTTCTCCATTGTGTCCTATTAAAAGTCAAATTCTCATTTAAATCTAATAAAGAAAGGCCATTCCTAATATTTTCTAGCCAAGTCTTTTTAGGTCTACCCCTACCTTTCCTAACATGTCAAATCTAATATCTCTACTCTCCTAACCGGGTCATCAGAAGGCTGCCGTTTTATGTGACCAAACCATCTAAGGCGACTCTCTCTAATCTTATCTTCTACTGGAGCTACTGCAACCTTTTCACGTATATGCTCATTTCGTATCTTATCTCTAAGGATAAAGCCACTCATCCACCTGAGCATCCTCATCTCTGCCACACTTAACTTAGTATTATGCTTCTCTTTTAATGGCCAACATTCGGCACCATAAAGCATTGCAGGCCTCACTACCATCTTATAGAATTTTCCCTTGAGTTTGATAGGTACATTTCTATCACATAACAAGCCCGATGCATTCCTCCACTTCAACCATCCAACTTGAATTCTGCTGATAATATCCTCGTCTATTTCACCATCACTCTGAACAATAGATCCAAGATATCTAAAACGTGTACTCTTATTAATGACTTGATTGCCCAAAGTCACAATCCCCTCACTAGGTCTATTATTACTAAAATTACACTCCATATATTCCGTTTTAGATATACTCAAGCGAAAACCTTTAGACTCTAAGGTTGACCTCCATAATTCAAGTTTACCTTCAACTCCCTCTCTAGTCTTATCAACAAGAAGAATATCATCAGCAAAAAACATACACCAAGGTACATCCTCTTGCAAATGTCTAGTGAGAACATCCATGACTAAAGAAAAAAGATATGGGCTTAAGGCTGATCCTTGATGTAACCCAACCGAAATAGGGAAATACTTGGTCAAACCACCTTGTGTTTGAACACAAGTAATAGCTCCTGCATACATATCTTTAATGATTTGAATATAAGCATTATTGACTCCTTTCTTTTCAAGAACTCTCCATAGCACTTCTCTTGGAACTTTATCATATGCTTTTTCTAAATCAATAAATATCATATGTAGATCCTCCTTATTTTCTCTATATTTCTCCATCAAACCTCTTAATAAATGTATGGCTTCCATAGTCGACCTACCCGGCATGAATCCAAATTGATTTTGAGAAACATTAGTATCACGCCGCAACCTATGCTCCAAAACTCGCTCCCATAGTTTTAAAGTATGACACATTAACTTAATACCTCTATAATTCGCACAATCTTGTGCATCACCTTTATTCTTAAAAATAGGAATTAACACACTCATTCTCCACTCATCTGGCATCTTTTTAGTCTTCAAAATAGTATTAAAAAGTTTAGTAAGCCATGAAATTCTTTCATCTCCTAAGCATTTCCACACCTCTATTGGAATATAATCAGGTCCAACAGCTTTTCCACCATTCATTTTCTTTAAAGTCTCTCTAACTTCAGTTTTACTAATACGCCGATAAAAACATAAATCTTTATTTTCATTTAGGGTACTAAGGTCACTATAGTCAATCTTATTTTCACAATCTTCATTAAAAAGTTTAGCAAAATATCTCATCCATCTTTGTTGAATATCATCTTCTAAGAAAAGTATTTTTTGATCTTCATCCTTAATACACTTCACTTGAACTAAATCCTTACTACTCCTCTCTCTTTGTTTGGCTAACTTATACATATATCTTTCTCCCTCTTTAGTATCTAATTTATTATATAAATCACTAAAAGCTAATGTCTTTGCATCGCATATTGCTCTCTTAGCATCCTTACAAGCCACTTTATATATTTCCCAATTATCAGAATTTTTAAAATTAAACCAATTTTTATAACGAAGCTTTTTATTTTTAATCTTTTCTTGCACATTTGGATTCCACCACCAACTATTTTTACTATTGGGAGTTTTTCCCTTTGATACTCCAAGGACATCTTTTGCAATATTCTTAATATCACTAGAAGGAAAAAAAAAAAGCACCAAACTGAAGAAATTGTAGCTTTATTAGTGCTAGAAAATTGTGCTTCCTTCACCTATATAATAGTTGGAGTTCTAAATCACCTGATTAGAATAGCAACTAAAATATGCATACAATGTAGTCTTAAAACTAACATCTAGAGTTATTAATCAAGATGAATTTTTAACGTTTCCAAACTTTGTGACTCCATTCCTATGCTTTACAGAGCAATATAATTTTGACTTACGACTTCACACTTCCTGTGGATGCCTCGATGAGAAATCACATGCCCCACCAACACCAAAAATCAAGAAGAATAATAACAAAACATACAAAAGAGTATAAGAATGCATAGAAATTAAAAGCAATGAAAGTATGTTTGAAAAACATTTTACTAGACTATTATCTTGCTTAGTAATTAATAAAAATAACAAGTAAACCTAATTTAGCTTCATAACTCATGAGCAGTTTACATGATTCTGACTTGAATATGTAAGAACTTCAAGCCATGCAGTCTTAAAATATATGGAGATGCTTCTCTGATTAATATAGAGAATTTACCTTCAAGGATGGTATTAGTCCATAAGCCTCCTCACAAGTCTCTGGGCCAGCATTTGCTATCATACATATCTGTACCAAGAGCAAGTCAAATTCATGAAGAGTATGCTTCAATATCACACATGAAAAGTTTGACTCCAAACCTCCCCATCAGTGGCCCCATGTTCTTTGAGACTTCTAAAGCATTCGAGTCACGGAGTAATACATGCCATATCTTCCGAAGTAAATGCAATAAAATGCATAACGGCTTTTAACAAAATCAACAACTTAAATGAGACGAAAGAAGAATCAAGGATACTCCAAGGCATGTCTAACAGACTTTGCATCGGTATACTGCACAGCAGCTTTTGAGTACAATAAAGTATTGCCAAAAGACCTATATAGATGAAAAAACAGACAGAAGCAGCAGAAAGTAAAAAATTAAGGATGTTTAAAACTTATGGGTGCAAGCTATGGACAGAGATAAAGAACATGAATTAATACTCAGGTATTTTGATCTTTAGATCCTTTAATGAGTCCAAATGTTCCTGAATCCCTTGCAAAATATCTGCTGCTTCACAATCCATAAGTATTTTAGCGCCTGGCGGGAGTTCTGCATGAAAAAATAATCAAGAGATGCAAATAAAAGGTAATAGTTATGGAGAACTATCAAGAGCAGAGCCCTCTGTGTTGTTTTTGGACTTTATCCTTTAAGTTCGATACCTGAGTTTATGTCAAGGTTTTCTCATGAAAAAGTAACAGTAATTCCATGGGTAATTTATGATCCTGCCGCAACCTCAGGCAAGAAGACATAAAAGGCAAGATGAAAAGAGAAGGAGAAAATCCAAAAACAAAAACAATAAGAAATTAGTCATCCACCTCAGTATCTAAGTAAAAAATAATGACCTCTGAATTTTCCTTAAGATAATGGCTGATCTATTCATATAACAGAAAAAAGTGCACTTGACAGTTTCATATGCCTTGTCAACAAAAAAAGCTAGTCATTAAATTGAGATGTCCTTCATAAACAAATTGCTATACTCTTGAGAAACAAAGCATATTATTCTGAATGATATAAGAATAAATTAGCCAGTTCAAACTTTAACATATAACTAGAAAAGTAATTTGTAGTAGAGCTGCATGTGCAGGAAGTAGCTAGCATCTTATAATGCTTAAAAGAAAAAAAAAAGTTTATATACCTGCTACTATCATTGGTTTGCTTCACCTTTACGAGAGCTTATCATATCAGATAGGCTAAGCAGTTCACAGGCACAAATTATGACAAATCGTGGTTCAGAGATATCAGACATGACCAAAACAATGGATCAATGACTTGGCAGGGCCAATTCAATTTTATGAAAGTGAACCTTGGTTTGCCCCTTAAGATCAGTACAATTAGGCACATAAGATTGGAATTTACGTTTAGATACATTTTTGCAGCAAAATCATAGTCTATATCAAATATTTGACTAGATTGAATATGCTCAGACACTGATCTCTCATTTATAGGTGATTAAACCACATGGTAGAGGACTTTGTGTTGTATCTACGGGTTGCTTCATGAAGGACGCCATGAGTTAAGCCCAATTTCTGGGTTGAAATCTGACTCATTCCATAGAAGCTCCTACAGCATAGAATTCATTAAGGTCAATTTAGATGAACGACAAGTTCGCTCAAGCAAAAAAAATTGGAAAACTTGTAGACTTCGAGATTAGTCTAATTTAGAGGACTCAATGCCACATATCAACCTAGATTATATATTTTGAAAGGTAGGGCTTATATCTCAAAATAAAAGCCCATTTTTTACTTGAAAGTCTGAGAGCCTAAGCATGAGGTTGATTTTTAATTGGACTTATTAGTAAGTAGCTAGCCGAAGGTGGAAAGATTAATCATAAGAGCTCAACCTAAATTGTTTTTGGCTTAGTAGCATGAAAACTGGTCTAAATTTAGTTGATAGGCATAGTAAATTGAAAATGACGCATGTTTAATTGGTGGGTTTGTTCGTATAAAAGCAGGCACAAGTTTAGCATTTGGTGGCTCTTATACTATTGTTGTCACAAACTTAATCAAGTTTAGGCCTTAATCATGTGGCTCAAGATTTGTAATGTTGTCACAAACCTGATCCAGGGTTGGATTTATATTCTATGGAAGGCCTAAATGCTTCAATGTTTGCAATGTTGTCATAGACTTGACTAAGTGTTGCGTTTTACATCCAAAGCCCATTAGTTTAATTCATAGCCCTAGATATGAGGAAGACCCTTAATTTGGAATTTGCTCTAGTGTACATGGCTTGCTATATTTGTGTCGACCCAATCAATTGATTTTAAGCCTTACATCCATATGAAAGCCCAAAGAGGAGACTTACAACATCAAGGGTGAGTAAAGGCTGAAGTCATACAAGGGCAAAATTGGTTTATAGACTAGTTGTTGTTGGCTTTGCGCCGACTTGATTATCTGTATTAAGGTTTACATCTAAATGAAGAATAAAAAGGTAGGACTTACAACCTAGTGGATGAGAAAACCCTAAAATAAGACTTACAACATCGAATGCTGTTACGTCTGGACCGGTCCAATTCTACACCCGACGGCTCAAAGCCAGGTGGAACCAGGCGGAGAACAGAGAGAAGGGCCGGGATTTTGGTGGGCCCTAGCTAGGGTAAAACGCATTGTGGGAGGGAAATTTTGAAATAGAAGGGTCTTTTAGGTATTTTGTAAAACTCCTTTATTGTTAATTAGGAGGATTGGGGGGGGGGAAGGGAATTTCATCTTAAATTTGAATTTGTAATTTGAGATCTAGGTTTTGTTTTGGGCTCTTGGCATCGCCGGAGATTGTGGAGAGTACGTTCTTCCTCTCGAATTGAAGAACGATTGTATCTTTGCTGATTTCTATTCTTCTACTAGTGAAATCCAAGTCTTTGTTTGAGTTTTCTTGCTATTTTCTCGTTGTTTTCCTGTGCTCGGTGCTGTTCTCCATTGAAAACAGCAGTTTTCCTGCTGTTTTCCTCTCCGATTGTGATTAGGTTTGCTTGCGGACACAAGTATTCCCTAGGGTTACTTGCGAACTCAAGTATTACCTATCAATTGGTATCAGAACATCATCTTGGGACCATCGGCGGCTGAAAAATTCAGAAATTTCAGCAAGAAACCCTCTTCCGCAAGGGAAATTTTCGGTTGCCGTGGAAGAGAAGATGGCCGAAAGAAAAGTAGAAGTTCTGGGGGGTGAAATCGGCCAACTGAAGACCGATTTGGAAGAGAGAACCGTTGAGTTTCAAAATCAATTTGCGTCCATCCATGAAAAGATGGATGGGAGGTTCACGGCATTAGAAGAAATGATGAAGAAGATGTTAGAGAGCAAATCAAACCCGACGACAGCAGAAGCAAGGGAGGCCACTGGTGACAACGGGAGAAACGGGAACCCGAACCCATTGAGGGGAGGGAGACCACCGAAGTGGAGATCCTTGATGGGAATGACGGAATGCCTCTGCTAGAACCGCTTTCTAGAGAGGAGATGAGCATGGGCTATGAGAGAAGGGGTGCTGAATTTTTTGGGAGAAGGAATGAGTTCTACCGTCGAGGTGCTGAGGAGGAGAGGAGAAGGGAAGAGTATGAGGAAGGGCAGTGGTATGATCGGCGGAGGGAAGTTCGTGACCACTGGGGAGCTTTTCCTCCTCGGGGAATGGGAGGTTATGGAGCAGTAAGAGGAAACTGGGGAGATCCGAGGTGAGGAAATTGAAGATGCCCATCTTTGAGGGTGAGGACGCACATGGCTGGATCTACAAGGTGGAGCGATACTTTGCGGTCAATGGGTTGACCGAGGAGGAGAAATTGACAGCGGCAAGACTGTGTTTGGAAGGGAAAACATTAGCTTGGTAACAGTGGCGGGACATGAGGCAGCCCATTCGAAGCTGGAGGGAGTTCAAGGACTGTCTGCTAGAGCGTTTCCGAACTAGTAGGGGAAGAGACTTCTACTATCAGTTCTTTTCCCTGACACAGGAGGGGACGGTTGCCGAGTACCGCGACAGGTTTGAGTACCTCGCAAGCAGGCTGGATCGTCTCTCTGAGACCGTGTTGGAGGGGAAGTTCATGAAGGGCCTTAAACCGGAGATCAGGGCAGCTGTCAGGGTGATGAGACCTCACGATTTGGGGGAAGCCATGGAGTTGGCACAGCTGGTGGAGGATCAGAGGTATCAGGAGAGAGGGGATCGTAGCAGCAGCTCTGGGGGATCCTACAGGATGACGACTACCTTCCTAGCTCCAAAAGGAGCTGCACCACAAGAGGCACCAAAGGAGAGGACAGGAGGCGGCAATGGTGGGCAGTTCAAAAAGCTGACTGAGAAGGAACTGCAAGAAAAAAGGGCAAAAAGGGGTGTGCTTCAGGTGTGATGAGAAGTACATGCCGGGGCATAGGTGCAGGACCAATCTCTTCAGGTTCTCCTCGTTTGTGAAGATGAGGAAGACGAAGAGGGAGGTGGGAGTGAAACTCCTTTATTGTTAATTAAGAGGATTTGGGGGGGAAGGGAATCTCATCTTGAATTTGAATTTGTAATTTGAGATCTAGGTTTTGTTTTGGGCTCTTGGCATCGAGTGAAATCCAAGTCTTTGTTTGAGTTTTCTTGCTCTTTTCTCGCTGTTTTCCTGTGCTCGGGTGCTGTTCTCCATTGAAACAGCAGTTTTCCTGCTGTTTTCCTCTCCGATTGTGATTAGGTTTGCTTGCGGACTCAAGTATTCCCTAGGATTACTTGCGAACTCAAGTATTACCTATCATAGAAGACCTGAAATTGATTTCATGTCTATAATGTAGTGTACATTAAGATAACAACTCACTAGAATCCTTAGATAAACTAGAGTCCAAAACATCATAACTTACTACTTGGCCTATATGTTTGATAAAAATTTAGACACTATGTATTTTACTTTTAAGGCTTAGGGGTGATTTAGGCCTCAAAAGAGCATTTTGAGTAGAGCATCAACTGATATGCTACTAAGGTGGCATGGGATTCCTGATGCTGGATAGTTCAAATGAGGTTAGTTATCGAAAGCAATGAGACACTAAGATTCCTGCTGGTTGATAGGGTGGACGATGTTTGAATTCAAAGAAAGAGAGACATATGCGATTAGTGTGGGTTGTCAGAAGCATTGGGGTGCTGAGTTGGTCAACTCCTTAAGGGTAATGGGTAGCAGAATTCCAAAGATATAATTTTAAGTTGACTGTTGTAGGCTGCTGGATAAAGGAAGAAATAAAAACCAAGTCAAATCTAGTTTGTATATGACTGTTCAAGCCTTCTATCCACCTTCCAGTTTATTTAAATCTTTAGGAATGATCTACAAAAATTATAAAATTGCCCAAATACATTAGGAAATTAATACAATTAAGTTCAAGTACTATTTAAAGCGTTAATCAAATTCACTAGGCCTTAGATAATATTAATAACTAAGCTTAAATAAAAATATGCTCTTAATCAAAATGATTAATCCTTAATACTAATTAATTGAGGAAGTTTAGAATGATTAAAATTCGTGTCAAGATGACTAAACCTAAGCCTAATCATCAAGTCAAGTTATCTTCACATCAAAACAAAAATTATGCTAATTAGACCACAGCTAGAGTAATTAAGCATTACTGATATCAAGTACAACGTAAACTCTTTCAATTAAGAGTTTAATTCTATTAATTGAATAGGTGATTAATTAGAAAAGAAATGTATAATCTTAGGGAATCAGATTTTTAATTAGATCGAATAGCCTTTTCTTTATACAAATAGGATGCCCAATTTCACTAATATGATAAGTGCAAAAAAGCTGTCGATAATATAAAGCAGTATTTGATGATTCCTCCAATTTAGTGGCACCTCTTATGAGGAAACCCTTAATCTTCTACATTTTGGTGTAACTATTTATTTACATGCCTAAGATACTTATTTATAATTCTCAAGAAATATCAAAAGATAAACTACATAAATTATCAAACCGAAGAGCAACAATCAATCCTAGAAATAAACCACCAAATTATTGTTAAAATCACGCACATTCAACCAAAAATAGAAGAAGCATATAATATCGTAGAGGAACATAAACAGAATAGTCAAAGAAATGTCGCAAGAAAGAGCTATAGGACCATGAATAGGACTTGTATAACAAAAAATAGAGTAGGAATAAGTCTCAAGGAAGAGTTACAAAACTCAAAACAAATAGCATGCTACATTCCCTCATCTTTAGAGGATCTCTACTGCAATCTAGCATGCAATACAGATTTAAATGGTCAAACAATATAACAAACATGCATTTTTTGTGAAAACAAATTTGACCTTGACTAAAAATTAATGCCAAGTTAACGATCATGAAAGCCAGTTTCATAAATGAAATTTTACACATAAGAAAGAAAAAAATTATTAATGAAAACTAACAAATTATTATATTTTCAAATTTCAACCAATAGCAAGCAATGATCAGGACAAATTATTAGAAGGAGATATAAAGAAAAGGGAATACGGAATAAAAATAAAGCTCATACAAAGAGATAGCATTTTCCAAAAATTAAACCTCAAACTTAATCAAAGAACTGAATTTTATGAGAAGGGTTTGGACATCCATTAACCAAAGATGGTCTTCTTCGCATGCCACACATACCAAATTTATAATCCTCACTGAATAGCAATAGAATAGAAAATGTCCAAGGAAACACCAAAGAAACGAACTAAAAGGAATGTCAGTCAATGTAAAAAGCGAAAAACTGGAAAGCTTCTATAGTCTATAATGTCAGCCAATCTAAAAAGCGAAAAACTGGAAAGCTTCTATAGTCTATATTCCCACATATCCAGATGCAAACCAACCAACAGTTACAATTCTGAAAATCTAGTTGTAAAGAGAGCCGCACCGGCCCCAAACAGAGAAACTATAAGAGGAGCTGCAAGAACATCAAGGGAGCGCAAACAAAACAATCACAGAAATGCCGCAAGAAAGAGCATAGAACCCATAGAACAAAAAATAGATGAACCATAAAAACAGCCAGAATGAAAAGCCAAAGAACCGGAACAAAGAAGAAAGAACCAGCTACAGACCCACATTTCATCAATAATTATTGTTGTTTCATTCAATGATAAGTTCTTAATTATAAATTAATTTGCACATGCTCTCGACATAAGTTGGCACTATCTCAATCAAACTTGGCTATAAAAGATGAAAAAAGAGCCTCGGCTATAGAAACAATTACCAATTTCTAGCTTTAATTCCTTGTCTGAAACAGTAGACTTAGCCGGTTTTGTTTGGGGTAGGCCTCCCTTTCCACCACCTTTTCCTGCACTAAAACTTTTTCCGCCTTTGCCCCAGTCATCTGATGACATAAAAAAGGACTTCAATGTTACACGCAGGCTATTTTCTAGAACATACTCTCACAAAATCCAAATATGAAAAGAAAAGTTTGTGATGCAGAAATACAGTTAAATTAGTAGATCGGAAAAGAAAAAGAAAATAAAAAGACATTACCTGAGGATTTCTCAAATGAGGTTTTTCCACTTGATTTTAGGCCTTCAAATGATACCTTACCAGTTTTTAGGTCAGAAGATCCTTTGTCATCTCCCTTTGCCGGACTCGGGCTTTTCACATCAACGAAACCTAAGAATATGAATAATTACCCATTAAAATGGTCATTCCCAAACTTTAGAATAACCTTTCCAAATTTACAGCAATGTAATATCCTTTAGTTTACATTAGGATAACAAGAGTAATCAATCAGTTAAACAAATCCAAAGGCAGGAAAAGTAAGTTATTTGAACCTTCATATTCAGAGTCAGAGGAATCTATTTCGATTTGATTTAATTTATTCAATGAAGGGCTGTCCTTGCTCTGTTTTCCTGCAAGGAAGAAGTGGCTTAGAGTAGATACAATTACAAGTATTTTATTAACACGTAATGAAATTCAATCATTATAGCCTCATGCGAGTTCATTGTCAAGTTTAGTGAACTTATAAAGGATTCACCAGAAAAGAAGATGCAAACAATTAGAATGATGTCACATTGAATAAATATACTCTACCTTATTTAAGATCAAGGCTATAGTATCATATAGCATATAGCCATAAGACTATACAAGCCATTCACATTAATTCATAATACACAATCAAGCCTTCCATACAGAATACTAGGTTGCAGACAAGTTACCACCAAAAAATAAATAAATAAAATAATTGTTACAAATCTCCAATGAAAACAAAGCATCCGCAAAATGCTACTAAGAAAAATAAATATAACTCACAAAAAAAAAAAAATTCATATCATCAATCGCTAACTTTCATTTATCACACATCCTATAGTATACTTATAATTAATGCAAACACACTCTCCATGGTATCACTGATGGAATTCCTTTTTTTTTTTCATAAAAACATGAGGTATCCCCTCATTTCCTTCAATAACTTTTGTTTATTATCATATTATGTCGATTTTACATTTCTTTGTTTAATTAAAGGCAAAAATCGTTCTCTAACAAAAATAAGGGAAAGCAACCCTTCTTAACAGAGATTATTTGTTTGTTTATCAAAATCATCTCTATTTTTGCCTCACCAAAATAATGACTTTCTCCAAGAACAAGTGATACCAAAAATATTAAAAATTTGTTCTCAAAATTATACCGCATTTTACACATCCCGAAAATCATTAAAACTATTTTTATAAAATTCTACGTTTCATTTTGAACATATATATAGAAGTATATACAAATAAATGAATATATTAACAATTAATAATTAATTATATAATTAAATTATTTGACCTATAATTTTTAATAACATTATTAAACCAACTATCCTACCGTAAAAATTCAGCATCTAGCTCAACTTCGTGATCTACAATTGGCGACTAATGGGCAGCTGTTATGGATATTGTAGTAATGCATGAAAAATTAATTATCTACATCATAAATTGAAGCAGTTTTATCCCATTTCTCCCTTATGCATCCCATGAAATGGATGCGGAATCAGGCATAAGCGGGGATGCTCGGATAGGATGGAATAAAGAAATAACAGATAAGAAGAAGAAGAAACATAGAGGAGAAAAAAAAAGTAAAATAAAAAAAACTAGGAGAAGGGAAGAAGAAGAGAAGAAAAAAAGAAGTAAAGAAGAAAAGAAAAAGAAAAAAGAGAGGAAAGGTAGAATTCAAGATTTTATGTAAGAATCTTATTTTCATATTTCCATAAATCGAAATTGATTTCAAGTTAGCAGGCTTCAAAACTTGAGTGAGGAGAAATTCTTTCGAAACAAAAATATCATTTGAATTTAATTAATTTAACTTTGAGTTTTCAATTTAAAATTTTATATTAAATTAATAAAATTATTGCTATTAGGTTATTTACAAAATAACAAGATGTTGAGGTGATAAAAATCAAGAAATTTATCCCGCAAAAGATCCCATAATTTAGGTGAGATACTCAATCTCTAAAATAGAGACAAAAAAAAAAAAGGCTTAATATTTATTTAACTTGTATAATCTCATTAAAGTACTATGTACATGCAAATAGATATTTCTTCATAATGAACATTAAATAATACTATTAACAAGTCTGATGAATTTTCATAGGATCACATGCTTAAATAAATTTAAGATATTTTAAATTAACTCATAAGCATTTTTAATAGAATATAATGTTTATTTAAGCACATAGATATTGACTTTTACATATCATGTTTACCTTTGATGCATATTAAACAAATTAATTGATAATAGATGAATATCAATGCTACATAATTCAACATGTCGATGATGATATTAAATTGAAAGAATTCAATGTAAGATCATGTCAAGAGAGATGGGATGGTAGATTATGATAAATTGCGTACAGAGAGACAAAAGTTTTGACAAGGTAAGTCCCAATAGAAAAAAAAAAAAGTTTACCACTCTCAGCACTAGAAAGTTCATAATATAGGCTCAACCTTGAGATCAAGGTGTCATTGATAATTGCTATGTTAGATTGTCCAAATTTTATCAATGATTTTTTTGGGTTAACAGGTTAGGTGATGACTGATGATAAATGTGCCAAAAGTCTACGTGCATTATATGATAGTTCTAAAGTATTGATGATTATAAATTGAGCATAAAATACAAGTAATTTCATACTAAAAACTTAAGTAGCATAATACTTTGAATGATTTGACATTTTATATATGTACTTTATTATTTTATATAAATTTATAGTCATTACTTATAATCAAGTTATTTACCATTCAAATCATCAAAGCAAGTTTTAACTAAAAAATATTGCATTAAGCTAGTTATAATTATGCTTATGTTAATGCAAAAGACCAGCATGTATATTATTACTTTGTTCTTATATATTTGAACCATATATTAGAATTATTTATCACACTGAGTGTTTAGCTCATCCTATATTATAATAACCAATTTTCAAGCGCACATGAGATCGTAGGCAGGTGGCCCAATTTTTCCTGTAATTTAATATTATGAATGAATGTACAATTTTAATAGGTAATAAAGAAAAGAATGTATATTATATAAATTAGATTTTTTATATGTATAAATTTATATTTGAAGTTATTTAGAAGCATCATATTCAATTTGAAGATTTTATTTATTCATGATTCCATACTAATGCTAATGCTTGATTTATTAGATGAGTATGACGTGTAATATAGATTTTGTGATGAACTCAATCTCTAAAATAGAGACAAAAAAAAAAGGCTTAATATTTATTAATTTCTATAATCTCATTAAACTACTATGTACAAGCAAATAGATATTTCTTCATATTGAACATTACATTATACTATTAACAAGTATGATGAATTTTCATAGGATCACATGTTTAAATAAATTTAAGATATTTAAGATATGTTAAATTAACTCATAAGCATTTTTAATAGAATATAATGTTTATTTAAGCACATAGATATTGACTTTTACATATCATGTTTACCTTTGATGCATATTAAACAAATTAATTGATAATAGATGAATATCAATGCTAAGTAATTCTACATGTCGATGATGATATTAAATTGGAAGAATTCAATGAAAGATCATGTCAAGTGAGATGGGATGGTAGATTATGATAAATTGCATACAGAGAGACAAAAGTTCTGACAAGGTAAGTCTCAATAAGAAAAAAAAAAAAAAGCTTACAACTCACACATAGAAGTTCAATAATATAGGTTCACCTTGAGATCAGGTGTTTATTTGATATCAAGTCAAAGGTTAGAAAAGCAGATATCACAAAGAATCATGAGTTTCGTTTTGGGTTAATGAATGCTCCTACAACTTTTAATGGATTTCCATGAATCAATTTCTAGTGATGTCCATTTTTTATTTTGATTTTCCTCCTTTAAGACTTCTTTAAGTATCTATTCAATTGCTTTAAGTCTTGAGCGACTACATCGATTTGAATCTTCCTTATATTGCCTCAAAATGGTGCCACCAGAAATAGAAAATAGAGACAGGGTTGAAAATTGTCAATGCTCTTGATTATATCTTGCATGGAAACATCCGCATCATTCATTGAACTGAGCAAAGGTGCCACTTTGATGGAGAGAGAGAGGAGTATGGTTGAATTGCATTTTTTTTGGAAATAGGAAAGTTCGAACACTTCATAAAGGATGCACTTTTAATCAAAATTGGAAATGCCTTTCTAGATGAGAAGATGGCATTGGAGGCAATAATTAGTTTATCACATACTCAAAGCCTTATTCATAATGATGGAAGCTTCCCTCTTTCTTTTGCATAAAAAAGTCTAATAAGAAGAAAATATGTTTTTTAAATTATGGCAAATTTGAATACACATGAGACTTGGTATGACTAAAGAAACTTAGATGTCTTGTAAAGATGTATTAGAATCAAACAAAATAGAATCTTAAAGATGAGGACATCATAGAAATATAAAAAAATAACTGTGAAATTATTAAATGAGAGCTTAAAGAACCATTTATTTTTACAATAGCATAATAAATAAAAATAATGAAGCATATTATAATATTAATGCAAAAGAAAAATAAAGAGTTAACTATTGAGAATATGCATAAAGGTAAAGTTTTAGATCCATATGAGATATTCCGTACTTATTAAGTTTGGATAACTATAAGTGAAATTGTAGTAGTTTAGTTAAGAATTTTAAAAAAAAATTAAAGACTAAGAGGATGAAAAATATTGAAAAATGAGCATTTTTTTCACAAATATTGAAGAACAAAGGAAAATTTCAAGCTTCTGATAACTATATGAAGGAATTAAGTAATGAATCATACAATAAAGCTATGGAAGAAAGTAATATAATATATACTTCCAGAAAACTCTGTCGATTTTTGGGTAATCCATTTGGTTTCATGCTAAGAAGATATATTATGGAGTTATTATTTAAGTTAAGAAAATCAATGAAAGAGTAATTAAAAACAAAGGCATGACCGTTTATATAAATTTTTTATTAATCTTGAAAATGCATTTGATCGAGTAGCAAGAGATTTTATTTAGCGCAGATTATTAAAGTTAGTGGGATAAAGGCTTGAGGGTGGTGGTTTTTGTTGTTGTATATTATTAAAGTTGAAAGATTTATGATAGAGGTAATGCTGAAGTTTATTAAAGATGTTATAATGAAACACTGACTAGTATTAGAAGTAGTTTGCATGGATGACAAAAGATATTTCAATTATAATAGAATGGCATCAAGATAAGCATCTAATTTAGATGGCCATTGTATTGGCTATGAAGATTGCTTGCAAAAGATACTCGAAGTAAGGTGTCTTAGTGCCTACTACTACTAATAACATAGTGTGATATTTTTTGTTGAAATAAGTTGAATATTAGAACAATGGATAATAAGTCTAAAAGGTAGAGAGCATAAAATTACCAACAAATGTTGGGAAATATAATATG